ACACATTTGTTCCAATGGGTCTTGACCTGGTATCCAAGAAATGTTTTCTAAGTCTGAGCCCAGCCTGTATTCAGACCAAACTGTGTCAGTCCAACCCACTGTTAGTGTAAGGTTGCCAACCCCTCACATGTACCACCAAAGGCTTAGTTAGACAGCCAAAAGGCACTAAAAAGGAAAGAACATATACCAAGTCCTTTAATAAAAGCAGAAATTAAAGGAATCTGACCAAGCTGTAAGTAAATTTGTAGCTCTCACTGACAAGTTAGCATATATAGGCCATATTGTTAATGTGATTTTAGTAAGTCTGCAAAAGACACAGAACTTGCTGGCTTAAAACTTTTTCAAATTACTCTTGCCAGAAATGTTGGCCTGCACTATGCAGAAGGTCAGGCTAAATTAACATAATTGTCCCTGCTGGCCTTCAAATCTATGAAAAATTTATAGCAGGATATGTCCTGAATTTGGGGACAAGGGAAGGAATTAAAGTAAATTGAAAAAATGACTTGGCAGATAACTAGGGACCATGCATAATATTTTAGAAAAGCCCAATGAAGTCCTTTTTGCTATGTGACATCACCAGAGAGCTGGGAAAATAGCACTTCCCTCCTAAACATGGTTCTAGCAGGACTAGGGCTAGAGCAATAATGACAAGAAATACTGTAAATGTCATTTGAAACATGTAATAAATTGTCCAGTAAGTGGCCTTTAGCAGAGGAAAAGACGACTGGAGACATACACATGTAGACAAAATAATTTGTCCAGGAAAATCCTAATTCTGAAAAATTTGATCATGTTTGTATTGAGCAACATCCGATTCTGCCAGTAATCACACTTAAATCAGTGGATGATTGCATAGTAAAAATACTACACCATGCAAATAAAGGCAGCAGCAGCTGATTAAACTATTTCCTTTGAAACTAAATTTCTACATAAGTTTACAAAGAACCATATAACTACCAATATGGCTAAGTACAGGGTTTCCCTCAAACACAAGTAAATTAAAAATGTTTTAATATTACTCTCAAAATTGCATTTGGAAATTAGGAATTTAATAAATGGAAAAATATTAGTTATACATTTAGCAGTCTACTAAATAGAGTATGGGAAAGTTGTTTTCACTTAATAGAAGACTGAATTTGTGCCTCAACATTACATTAAAGTAATCTTGTCTTCAAGAGTCAACCTATGATGTGTTCCAGCAAATAAGCTGAGGAGTGGCATACATTTTAAAAACTTTCTTCAGTTATTAGCAATCATCCAAGAGGATGACATAGCTTATGTTTGTTGAAATACACTTCTTTTTATTCTTAACATTATCCTAACCTGCACATAACTTCCTCAAGTATCTTTATTTCTGTTTCTGCCACTGAAACATTCACTTTTTCATGGTAATGGTATCCATCTCATGTTTAATCATGCACATTTCTCCATAGCCTCAGGCTGTCCACTTATAACTATCTTCCTTGTGAAAGTTGGCCATTTTGAGTTTTATTTAGCAGTTGGCCATATTTGTGTACTTGGACATACTGTACAGTGTGTTAAATGAGTGTTTCAGAGCGTTTGAGCTGAAGGAGACTTCCCCTGTTTCTAAAACATTATTATTGGCTGTGCTTCTGTAATGTTTGGCATTGATAGCTGCTTTTTTTAAGACATTCATTAAAAAAAAATTAACAGGATGAGAGACAGCTGCAGGTACTGGCAGTCTGCAAAATGCATAATTACTAAGAGTAACTGAAGCATATTATAGTATAATTCAACTGAAAAAACATCTGTCCCATGCTATATTTGTCATACGAGAGTTTTGTAGAAAGTACTTACTACAGCTGGCAGATTTATCACCCATCTGCCAAAATACTAACAGCTCACCTTTGGTTCCTACTTATTTAACAAAGACAATATGGAGTAGACATTTATTTGATCAACTTCGTTTAAAAAAAAATTTCACTTGGTCTTATTGAAGTCTCAAATAAAAAATTTAACAGTCCTCATGGATCAATTATTGATGCCAAGAACTGTTTTGTCTTCCTTGTGGATTATAAGGCAAAATTGTTTCCTCGTAAACATACAGCCAGTGTAATATAAATATAACTTCATAGTATAAAGCTGAAAATGATCGCATCCATGCTGGTCTGTCCTATTGAGAATGTCAATTCATCACCTGCTCACCTAAGCAAAAAAGGCATAGATACATTTTAAATCCCAAATACCAAATATAGTACTGAAAAATATTCTTTGTTTGGCCCCTTAAATGATATTAAAGAGAAGTTCTCTTTCAGGTGATTGTGCTCACTGTTGGTGTTCATGTGCTTCTAGTAGTCAGTTTACAGAGTTTTTTCTTGGCAGTACCTGTTGAGTATACCTGTCCCTCCTTTTGCCCTATGCCAATCTGATGTGGTGGCACAGGTCCAGCCACTGTGAGGATGTGCATATGGGTGACAAATTTTGAACTACAGTAACTTCTCTTTCCAAAATTTAGTAACTTCCTTACTTTCAAAACTGTTTAATAACATGTATTAAATATTATTTTAAAATATTATTATTAAAAAAATAATGTTACTTATATTTGAATACATAAACAACCTTTATACTATTAGGAAATTGTCTGAACTCCACTGCTAGTGAAGTATATCAAAACGCTGTTGTTGTCTTGGAATGACTAGTTAGCTCATAGAACCAATATATAAATAAACCAAATGAATGATATGCAGATGGTTGAATCACTATTCACATTCTGTAGTCAGCGTTCAAGAATTAGCTGATCACTTGAGGCCCTATCTAGAAAATACTTACACTTAGGTTTATTTACATCATTGACTTCTTAAAGACAATTTATTATAGTGAAGTTAATGAGGATAAGGTGTTGCAGCATCTAACCAGGCCTTTAATAATCTTAATCTGCATAGTTCAATAAAGAAAAAAAAATCACTCATATTAAAAAAAAACATGCAAAAGGGCAAAGGGATAAATTTAACATATGTTTAAATCTGTAATGCTACATCAGCATGTATAATAGTGGTCAGTTTTAAATTGATAGGTAGTAGCATGGTGTTCTTATAGTTCTGATTGAGTTTGGTCATTGAAGAACTAGAAGAACAGCATGCTGCTTTAGAAGTGTAAGAGGAGAATAATCTGACAAATGTATTCCTGCTTCATTTCTTAAAACTACTGTCATAGAGCTTTAATGTACAATTATACGTGGAACTGTAACAAAGTTAAATTAGGGGAAGAAGCAAGGCAGCTGTGATAATAAAAGGATATGGATCAGTTTTCATTTCTTATTTTTAAAAAACTAGAATTTAAGTATTTGAAGAAGCTTTAAAAATTCAAGTTTTAAAGGGGAAGTAAAGTATAAGTTGTGAGTGAATATTTTATTTTGGATGTGTTGGTCCCACATAGGAGAGGTGATGACTAATTTAACTTTATTTCAGTTCCAGTACACAACAGTATTATTTTCACTTAGAGAATGAAGATCTCCAAGCTAATAATAGGACAAAATTGTTAAAATGATGGGGGCTTGCAAACCCTTTATCTGGCAGTGGCTTTCACATTCTAAGAATAGAAGCTGAAGCTTTCAAGTACATCTGGACTGTACATCTGGTCCATCTAAGGCAATGAGAGACTCTTAATTGAATTTAATGGAGTTTCGTTGTGGCTTTATGACAGTAGTTTTAAGAAATGAAGCAGGAACATTTCTACTGTTGAATGAAGTGCCCTGTTCTAACAAATTCAATTACGGTATCATCATAACTAGATTGGAAAGGTAGCTAGTTAGCTGATCTAGCCCTTGTTGACCAGATTTCTAAATTAGCATTCACAGAATATGTGTGGAAAAGATGAGCTGGATTTGTTCACTTGTTTGTCTACACCTGTGCATGTATATTTTTTTTAAGTTAGCACCCTACCTATAAACTAAATTCCTTACAGTCATTTTCTAGGGTCTGTATTAAGTATACAAAGTATTTAGTGCCTTGGTAGTGTTTTATTTTAAAGTTGTGTTTTCTCTTGGATATTTTTTCTTTGAGCTAATGAAATTTTTAACATTACATTTTACAGTAATTCTTAGCAGATGGACTGCATTCAGTGCTTGAATGTCAGTGGACTTGCATCTGCCTAGCACTCAGGTTATTTAGACCAGAACTTTTAAAGTTTCCAAGTTTGGTATTAGTGTCCTCTCATTTTCCCAGAATGATAATATGACTGAAGATGGAAACATTTTAGTGTTTTTATTTGGCATTTTTTAAATATTACAAAATGCTCAAAGGAAATAAAAGAAAAAAATAAGCTACAGGTAAGGGTTTCTCCAATTGATAAATTTCTGTTTTAAGTTATGTCATTCAACTGCAGTGTTTTTGCTTCTCCTCTCCATCAGATCAAGTTGTTGTCAACTTCCTTTCCTCTGTCCTGTTTTTCCTTCACATACAATTGATGCAAATTCCTCTATGCTAAAGTATTAACTTTGGTTGTGAAGTGCTAGTTATACCTTGCTACAATACTTTCCTATCTATATGTTGTACTGACAAGGCTGTGCCTAGATTTTTAAAGATTAGAATGAGCGTATATGTTTTACATACTTCAAATTATGCAGAGAACTAGTTCCCTGAATTTGTAGTTCCCCAACATTAATGTTAGCTTAGTTGACCTAACTAAACTAATGACTTGTTTATTTACCTGAAAGTTTAAAATTTGCACATCCAGCTTATATTTGTAGTCAATATAATTGATTCTGTATTTGTAAAACATTGATATTGCAGACTTATGGCAGTACCAAAGGTTATTTGCCTTCAAAACAAATATGCCTTATACCTCTACTATTACACATTTAAGTCTATATCATTTGGAAGGGAGAATCGGAATGCATTTGGTGTGTGTGTGTTGTCAACAACATTATAATTAAAATGGACCATAAACCCTAGCAAACTTCAGAAAAGTACCTATTAAGTATTATTCAGATAGCAGATGCATTACTTTACATTAATCAGCTTCTTTCTTCTGATTGATAGAAGTGAGCTATGTCAACAAAAACTTCACACTCAAGAGCTGCTTTCTCAGCTGGAAATAGCAACTGAAAAGGTAATAGAGGTAAGATAATGGCTCTCATGGGAACTACTTTCAGCTATAACCTGATGTGCATGCAGTAGACTCTTACCAGGAACCCTATCCAGATGAGTTATATTGTTACTTTATAAATGCCTGTGAAGATACTTAGAATTTTTTACTGGAATAGTTCTAAGATTGAAAAGTTTACCATCGTATTTTTGCTGAGAATTAATGGACAGATGCCAGGAATAGAAGTTAATGCAAGTCCCAAATGATGAAACATAAGGAAGGACAGTGTAAATTGTCAGTGATTCAGAAAAAGTCACAAGACAAGGATTTTTGTGGGTGATATCTGTGTGCTTTTGGAAGGTGACCTGTTACATTTTTACTTTTATTCTGTAGCATCCACAGAATGGTACATCTCCCCATACTACCAGTGGTGGAATTGTCAGTATATATATATGCATAGCTAAAGGACTCTCTCTTACATTATGCATTAAAATTTTAAAGGCGTGTTTGTTTGGGATGCATTATTAAATAATTAACGGTCACTTTTGAAAATAGCTGTGCTTCTGTCAAACTGTCTAGTAAATTTGGGATAGTACCTAATATTCTCTGAAATTAGTCTTTTAACATCATGCTTTATTCCTTAGCACTATTTAAGACAAGGTGGAGGGGACAGATTTATAAAACTGCTGGTAGAGAGAAATACGACCAAGGAGTGTTGGTTGCTTTGGATTTTGTGGCTTTTTTTGGGGGGAAGATTTATTTTTGGTTTTGCACACTACTTTTTGGCGTAGAAAATAAAGGGAAAAACCTACATTAAGAGGAGACATCTTTGAAGTATTCGTTGCCTACTCTCCTCTGCTTTGCATCTAGTTAGTATGTTTGTATCTCAGTGGGTATAAGCAATTTTTGCACCCTGGAAAGAAATGCAGGGGAGGGGGCAGTACTGAGTGTCAGAGAGCCAGGGCACAGGTTCTCCACACATGGGCTCCTGCTGCCGCCATGTTGAAGGCTCTACATCAGCACCCATGACTGGTGTCCCCACACTTGCCCGCCTCTAGTTATACTATCACATATGAGAGTTATTGCCAATAAAATATGCCAACTTTTTATAAGATGTCTTAACTGTAAATGTGACATTAATATAACTGGCTTTGAAATCTACTGCGTGTAAAAGAACTGTAAAATAAAAAAATGTGAGAGGCTTTGCATTTTTTTGTTTAAGCTGAAAATTCTTGACAATCTATCACAACAATCTCTCTTTCCTTATTGTAGATGTTAAATAGTTCCAATATTTAGCATTGGTTAAGCTTTTTTAGCTCAAAGCTTTCACACTGCAATATGCATCAATCTGTTAACAGAATCTTACATTTGTAATAAGGTTTTTTATTTATACAGAATGAAAAATTAATGATAGAACATGAAGAAAAAGTCAACAGGCTTCAAAGACGGCTAAGCCAGGCAGAGCAGAGGGCAGCCACTGCATCTCAACAGGTACCTAATTCTAACGAGACAACATCCTGATTACGATCACATATCAATGTCTTTGAATATCACAAGAAAAAAATGTTGTCTTGGAATCTCCTCAGTTTATAGGTATTAGTTTGTTTGACATAATAAATAAGCTAATAAGCAATGAGACATTCTGATATTACAAAATGTCATTTCAAACTAGTATATAGTCATCCAAATGCCGGACTTTCTTCAAACAGTCAAGACTCGATGGAATGCATTCTTCTCAAACATACTTATGATTCAATGCTTTTTATGTGATCTGAGTTTGGAGATAAATTTAATGGCAGCTCTGAATTCATATGTTTTTCATTATACTAATGAGGGGATATGGATTTTTTTTTGGCATGCAAAGAATGATAGAAAATAAACACAGGAAAAGAAGGTTCCATCTTTTTACTTCTGTGCAAAATAAAATCTAGGTCAAAATGTGGGACTAAAATATAAAGTTTAAACAGCCATCATCGCTAATTACACAAAACAGTTGATTTCATGCCCCACAATTTGATCAAGAGAGCTATATACATCAGAAATGGTGTCTTTGTGGAACTGCAAATGCTTTGCTACCTCCTAAAGCCTGGCTTCCGTAAACTCTTGATCCAATTCATGATGTAAAACATATTTTATAGAAGATCTTTTCAGTTCAGTCACAATGTGACTGTAATATCAACATACCTGACACATTTTGGCTGCATCTACACAAGACTCTGACTGACCAGTTATTACTGCATCCACAAGTACTAAATGACTGCGCGTAATCGGAGGTACTGCACAGTAGCATTCCCGAATAGCTTCTTGGTGATGCTGACTGTGCAGGAGCTTGGTACTGCAGCACAGTAGCTTGTTACCATATTGTGCAGTAATAACAAGGTACTGTACAGTCAGTGTCTCGTGTAGATCACCTTTCAGCAGATGGTATCAAACATTCTCAGAGGCCTTATGTGTGCATACAAACCAAACCTGTTCAACACAGAACCTCCACATTCCACTCTTAAAACTTGGCTTCCTTCAAGCCTCTCAGAAAAATCCATTCCTCATTTTGCATTAAAACAGTCTGTTTGCTGTTCACCTCTGCTCATCATTTCTGCCAGAAAATGGAGGATGCTTTAGGTGCTCACTAGGGGAAATCTCGCTGCCACCAACATGTTCCAAAAGAACCAATTTTACTTACCTCCATGGAAACGTTATCCCCAAGTCTGCTCTTCCCTATATTCTCTATTATACACTGGGGTTGGTTGCTGAATCCAGTGCTAGACCTGGGAGAGCATCACTCCAGTCTGATGCTCCTAGTCTGATACAGACCATCCTGAAGATGATACAATTTGCCAATCACCTATAGTGGGCTGCATTATACACAAAGAAGAAAGAATGGTTATTTGGTCTTAGAGATGACCAGCTGGTCCATCACCACATGCTGAATCTTCAGCTGTTTGCTTCTTCAGACTGTGAAGAAACTGATGGAGCACCAAAGCTATTCTGCCATTTCTGCCTTCCCAATGATGTACAGAACTTAGCTATAATGAACACAACTATTCAGAAGAGTCCAAACTTGCCCCCAAAGTATACAACCACACTTTTGTGGGAGGTTGGGGAGGCAGTGACTATGCCAGCTCAAAGAACACTTTCTGGAAGGGCAAATGGTCATTCTTTGTATTTGTTTAAGCTTTACAGGGTGCATCTACACGTGCAGCACCCTTGTTACTGCGCCATCATTTAGTACCTTTTGGAAGTACTAAATTATGGCACAGTAACAGCCCTTACTGCTCTGTGCCAGCCGTGCATGGTTATTTTTAGTTGCTATGTGCCTTAGTATTGCGCTATACTGAGCAAGCATGTTGCTACGATGACGTAGGTGCAGTGTCATGGTTTTTGCCCATCAACGTAGCGTCATATGTAGATGTGCCCAGAGTGAGTGTGGAAGGAAGACACTTAGAAACTATGGACATATTTGCATCCTGTACACAAATGTTACAGATACTTACTTTTTTCTGCCTACTGTAGAGTTACCATAGATCATTTCTGATCAGTTTGCCTAAGTAGTGGTGGCCCAGATATTTATCTGCCCACTGTTGTGCTGCTATGCATCACTTTTTTACCTCGCTGTTGCCCCTTCACTGGTAATGGCATTTCAGTGGTTCAGTGTCTGTGCAAAGTAATTTATGTAGCAAGTTGAGATAAAAGATGCTCTAGGAAAGAAAAAGGAAATAATCTATTAAATAATCAATTATCTTTAGTAGTTTTACAGCCATGACTGAAATAGGACTGTACCACTAGAAAAAGATAACTCATAAAACAGGATTTTGCAGGATTTTATACAGATTACATTTTAAAATATATATGTATTCTGGATGTTTAATGCGTTTTGTTTTAGTGCAGTGCAACCTCTGTTTTTCAAAGTTCTATCAATCTTAACTCCTTTCTATCAAAAATAAGATCACAACCATATGGCATCTATTGAACAGAGTGAAAAATTCTTGAGTTATCCAAAATCTCAATTATATCTGCCTATTCCATCTCTTACATCACATGTTGCTTATTGAAACTGTACTGCCATACATTTCATATAATGATTTTGATGGAAAAGGGAAACTGACTGTTTGTTTTTAATTACAGCTCAGGATGATTGCCATGCAGAAGAAAAAGTCTGCCTCTGTGATGGATCTGGAAAACATTTAAAAATATGCATTGTTCATTTACAGCGTTTAAGAGTTGGGAAAACCATCAGAGAAGCACAGTACTGGATCACTGAAGTCTATAGTGCATCATGGGGCTTGTGGAATTTGCATTAACATTTTCCTTTCTGTTTGGACAAGGAAGAATGAAGCCGAACTGTAGCTTCCTCACAATAAATACACACAAGAGATTGGAATACAACAAATGAGCACCAATGTAACAGGGAACAATTTCAGAAGTTAATCACCTTCATTAATGTATAAAATAAAACAAATTTACTATAGGGCAGTGTTTCCCAACCAGTGTGCCGTGGCACAAAAGCGTGCTGTCAGAAATGAACAGGTGCGCCATGGAATTTTGCCATGGCAATGAGCTACAATAGGTATGAGGGTGGGGAATGCCTTAACTGGTGCACCGTAGAAATTTTTTTTTTTTAATGCAAGCGTGCCTTGGGCTGGAAAAGGTTGGGAAACACTGCTATAGGGCTTTGGGGATTTATTTCATTTCTCAAAAGCAAGTGCTGCAATCATGACAAAGTATTAAAGAAATGCCTACTGGTTCGTCTAAAAACACCTTTATTCTGTACATAGTTGTATTGAATTTTATATGACAGCGTTTCTTAACGTAATAAACTGAATTTTCTGAACAAATTCTTGTGCGTGAGAAGGAATGTGCAGCACCTTCTCTGAATTAAGTTGAGAAATCACCTTTCATTTTCAGTTAGTAGGTGCATATGGGTGATAGTTTTGCATATCTGTTCTGCCTCCTCTTTTTGAACTATTCAGTATCTTTAGGTGACTACTTCTGTGCTGTCCATGGAAAATAATAAAACATGGATGATCATTGATGATGATGATTTTGCCCTTAGTACACAAAGTTCTTACAAACAAAAGTCCTCCCCCATTGTGCTTATTCTGTTTTTACTGCTTTATAGTTGCTCCTTCCCTTTTTTTACCCAGCTTCTTTTCCCTGCAGGCATATGTCTGGTAACCAGAGGCAACTGCTCCTATTTGCATAGTGCTGGTGAAGCCAGACAGAAGAATCTACGGCTTTTATGCACTAACTTGCCATTTTCTGAGCATTGTAATTCCATAGAGCAAGAGTTCAAAGACTCTCCTAAAGGTGCAGTTTATCCTTGTTTTTGAGGCTGGCAAATTTCATAACAGTCTAAAATGTAATTTTTAAGCAAAAATAGAATTAACTATTTTTTCTGTGAGCATATATCTTTCAGCTATTGGAAGGTTCTCATCTTTGGCTAAAGTAACATATTTTAATTTCTTACATATTTATTGGAAGATGTTCCTAGCCATGATTATACTCTTTTTCACTATTTTATGTCAATTATAGTGTTGACTTCAACTTTCATTATTTTTAGATTAATAATTCAGCCATGCTTAATCCCACAGGTCTGTGGCAGTGTTTTTAGCTGTTTGCACCTTTGGGACAGGACCTGATACCTTTGGGACAGGGACAGGCATCTACACGAGATGTCTACTATGCAGTTGACTAATTAGCTGCACAGTAAATGTCTCAGTGTCTACATATGTGCCCCTGTTAGGTTAGAGTTAACTAATTTACTCCACAGCAGGATAGTACTTCTAAATATTGTACTTGTAAATACACTATCCTGCTGCAGAGTAAAAAAAACTCAGTATCAGCGCACGTGTAGATGCTAGAGGGGACTGGTTGGGGCATGAGAGTGCTTCGGTGCCTGCCAGCTAACCCAGTGCTGAAGCACCGTCATACTCCAGTCAACTCGTGCAGCACATTTACCCCCTGCTAGCTGGGGCTGCTCCAACCCAGCTCATCATGCTGTGTTCCTGGGCACACATTCAAACGGCAACAAATTCCAGAGTTTCCTGCGCTGAAGTTTATTGCTCCCAGGCACGTGTTCAAATGGTGCACCCAGAAACAATAAACTCTGGAGTTTGTTGCTTTGCATTAATTGCACTTGTAGACACGGCCACTGATACCTGCCTCCCTCTGAAGAGCCCGTTAAGAACATTTCTACAACTAAGAATAATTCTTCTCACTAAGTAACTTAAGGAAAAAACCTCATTTAACTCAAGAAAATATAACCACTGTAACAGAGCATGCTTTTACCCCCAGACATTGTCGGCTTGATGTATGCCATTTTGGATCACGGTTTATAACAGAATACTTGCCCAAGGGGAGAGGCTGGATCATTAAACCTTATTACTCAAACATGGTTTTCAAGGAAGATTGGATGCATTATTTTTCTTCCATACTCTACCACTGCAGAAAATTTCAGATCTTACTTTATCCACAGCATGCAAGCAATATGACAACTAAGCGCTACATTTGAATACACCTATGTATATATTTTTGTTTTTTTCTGGTCCTACTACATGTAAAAGTTTTGACACCTGACTCCCCTAACTAGCATAAGAGGGGTAACTATTTGCTTTCCTGAGGTGTCCCCCAGCTCACTGGAGATGGGAGTTGGAAAATGCTGGTAACTTACTCTTATAAGTAAGTTTGCCAAGGACTTGAATCCTAAGCAAATATCTGGAATTAAAACTGTAGTTCCAAAACTTCTGTTGGGATAGCAGAATTAAAACCTCTGACTTTTTACTTCAATGAGAGGAATAGGTTCCACTGCTGCAGACAAGAGGGAGCTTTGCAGGAAAGCTTGGTAGAGGGAGACAGAAATGGATTAATTAGGTGGTGGTCCCATATGCCCCACCAGTCTTTCTGGTCAGTGGTATGAGCTCTGGCCAGCACCTTCTATTGTAGTCTTTTCCCAGATGGTAGCGGTGGAAGAGATGTGATCTGTGTTTTGTTCCTTAGTGGGAATCATTGATGCAGACTTCGGAAGTTCAGGCACTTTCTTTCATAGTCATATACAAAGGCTCTTCTCACATTGATCCCCTTTGGAGAAAAATTGGAGAAATGCTAACAGCTTTGTTAGAGCTGTGAGACTAGGATTTTCCCTGTTGTGTTGTGGGGAACTGATACAACCTCTGCCAAGACTGCGCTGCTTATAGAGCATCTAAGATCTGTCCAGAGATGAGAGACCTGTGTTGAGGTGATCCATAAGTGAACTGGCATGGTGTAAAAGCCTCATATTTTTGTCTCTTTGGTCAGTGTGTCAGTGCTGTATTCTATCAGGGTGAACAGGAACTGCAGTATCTCGGCTTTAGGCAAAGGAAGAAATACTCCCTTTGCCTCCCTTTCTCCCCACTCATAAAAAGGTTGCCTTGGACTATAACTCAAAGAAATTGGGCCCAAATTATTACTGAAAAGAGCTTTTAAAGAAGTTCTGCAAGCAGTGAGTGCTGGAGACAGGATCCTTCCCTAGCACTTAGGGGCAAGTGAGTCTGAGTCTGTCCCTAACGTTGCATGCAATCTGAAGGTCTCCTGTTACCCCCAACTCTAGACTTCAGAGAAGAATTGTATGTTGCACTGACTGGTAATTTCTACGCATCTTCAACATTTCTAAGTATTCTCAAACTTCGGATTCCATCCTATTCACCATACAAGTCTAATTAAACTTCTGCTCACAAATAATTGGAGAGGACAGTGGTTTCCTGCAAAATTATTTGAATAGAGAACCAAAAGAAACTGAATTTAAAAGCCAGACACCCTTTACTGAGACCAATCTTGTCAATCCCATTTAGACCAGAGAATATGAGCACTAGTTCTTTTCACAGAACTGGTTGTTACTAAACATGCAGTTTGTATAGCATCTGATCTCTTAATCTTCTAGCGTCTCCTCAGCATTTTCCCTTTTCACGTCAGGATTCTGCAGTTTAATCACTTGATTTCCTACAACTCATCTTCAGATAGAAAAAAGACCTACTGTTTTCTCATATTGCTGATTTCTTGGAACAGTCAACAGTAAATATGACTATGCCGGAAAAAAATGTCCTAAAACTCAAAGGAATGATGCATTTAGCAAGAATTAGTCTCTTTCATTTTGGTTTTAGTACATTAAAAACTGTGTAGTAAATTATTTATAATTACTACAGATGATAACCAGTAAAACCAGCCTGAAGGAGGGCCTGGTACTGCTACACATCTCTCACTGGCATGGAAGTTGGTATACATTAACAAGGCTTGTTGAAGGTGACATCTATATAGCAAAATAAGGGCTAGGTGTCCCAATGAATTGGAGAGGTACATTTTTACACTTTGCCTGAAGGCGCTATATGGTCAATGCATTACAATTTGTAAAATACCTTAAATTAGGAAATAACTGAGGTGTAAATATATTGAAAAGAGAGGGAAACAAATACAGACTCATGCACAGAGAGGCAATAAGATCCTGGAACCGACGCATCCACCATCAGATCTATATCTGCTGTCCATGTAAACATTTGCCAAGACATCTGAACACACATCTCCCTGAATCACAAATGGGATGTCAAGTAGTCCATTATTTAGGACAACTTTTGACCTCTTCACCTGCCAGGTCATTCAGGTACTAGTTCCTCCACACACACACATGCGCACATACACACACACACACACACACACACACACATTCAGCTTATTCAAATAAGGGATATACTGAACAACAACAGAAAATGTTCTATTAGGAATATAATGCCTATTTGTTGAACTAGGTTTTCAGGATGGTGTTAGCATAGGACCACTAACTCTAAGCAGTTTCTGTTTAATGTAGGAAGCTGAAGTATAATAGTATAATGATTTACATGTAATGCATAAGCATCTCAGACATCATCTTCCTATAGAGAACCATTAGTCTTTTCCCACTAGAATTTCATGCTGGAATTTTTGAAGGGTCTGGCTAATCCTTTCAGCAAGAGATCCAGTCCTTCAGCCTAGTCCTTACAGCCCTGATGAGTCCACTCTTTCAAACTTGTGGCAACTTGCTCTCTTCCTCACCCGTCTATGAAGATGGCCTTGATGTCTGCAACCATAATGTTTGAAAGAAAAATAGGAAGTGTCCAAGTCTTGATGGTAGATCCTCCATGTACTGCGTTTGAAGTGGACAAGGTTGCCTTGAGGACACATCCTCTGTGCCCACGGTTGTCAGAATTTCACTAAAAATAGCAGATTCACCTTTCTTCAGCATGATTGCTGATGCAGACTTTGGTAGCTCAGGCACTTTCTTTCATAGTTCTAGGGAAGGGCTCTTCTCACACTAATTCGCTTCACTGGACCCAGAGTGGTGGGCTATTGGCCCTTCAGGGAAGCTGCACATGGAGGTGCAGACCCCGCTCAGGCTGACACTGCACCACTCACGGTCCACATGCCGCCAGCTGGACAGGTTCCACTTGCAGCTGGCCAGGCACTCCACAGCTTTCCCTAACACCTCCCCACTCCCTCAGCCCCCAGCCATCTTCCCACAACCAGCTTCTCTCCCAGTCAGCTCAGCCCTTAACCAGCTTCCCACCCCAGCCCTGCCGGTGCCCCCCAGCCTTGACCTGCAACCCCCAGCCCCCTGCAAGTCCCACTTACCTTACAGGCTCCAGGAAAGAAAGGGAGCCTAAGCCAACCCTTGGGTAACTAAGAGCCTCAAGTCCTGCCTTTTCGTCCTCTCTCTCCCCCTCTGGACATGGTTGGGGGTTTCTCGCCCTTTTTGCAATTAGCTCTTGCAGGCTGTAACTGCCAGCCTACAGAGCTCTTTGCAAAACCAGGAAATCTGCGGGTTTCTCTATTTTTCCTTGGGAAATGGGAAACCTGGATCCCTGATGATGACAGCTTGACAGTTCTTATGATGCCGTATGTCTGACTGCTTATCAAGTCCATCAGCTTGTTGTATGCATGGTGGATCAGTCTGCTGGCCTTCAAACCACATGAGAATCTCCATGAACCAGGTAGCATTTTCCCCCACAAACTT